TCTCTCTTTTACTATTTTTCTTCCTTTTCTTAAAGGAAACTCTTTAGCATCTCTTGCAGAGCTGGTTTGGAGGAGGTGTATTCTTTGAGGCTTCTTTTGCCTTGGAAGCTCCTTATTTGGCCTTCCATTTTAATTGAGAGCCTTGCTGAATAAAGTAGTCTTGGTTGCAGGCCTCTGGTTCTCATTCCTTGGAATATCTCTTGCCATTCCTTCTGTCTTGGAGTGTTTTCATTGAGAAGTCAGCTGCTAGTCTCATTGAGGCTCCCTTATACGTTACTTCCTGTTTGTCCCTCACTGCCTTTAAGATTCTCTCTTTGTCTTGGAATTTTGCCATTTTAATGATAATGTGTCTTGAAATGGGTCTTTTTGGGTTCCTCTTGATTGGGACTCTGTGTTTCCTGGATTTGTGTGACATTTTCTCTCATCAAATTAGGGAAGTTTTCCATCATTACTTTTTCAAACATGTTTTCTATTCCTTGCTGTTCTTCTTCTCCTTCTGTTATTCCTATTATATGGATATCATTATGTTTCATGTTGTCCTGTATTTCTCTTAACCCCTTTTCATTCTTTCTCAGCCTCTTTTCTTTTCCTTGCTGTTTCTGGCTGTTTTTTTCTACACCGTCCTCCAGCTTGCTGATTCGATCCTCTGCTTCATCGAGCCTGCTTTTGATTTCTTCTACTGTGTTTTTCACTTCAGAAATTGTATTTTTTGGGAAGTTCCACTAAGATGGAGGCATAGGTGGAAGCACTGCGCCTTCTCGCACAACTAAGTTTAAAAACAATAAAGTTTTAGCAACAAAAACACAGCCAAACCACCGCAAATTGAATTATACAGAAGTCGGTCAGCAACGAACCCTTCAGCCAAACCAGTAAGAGGGGCAGAGCCAGCAGCAGAGCAGGGTCAGGCAGGAAAGATCCACCAGACCGACCCAGGCACGCGACCCAGGCGTGCCAGCAGCCGTGGGCAGATCCCAGGTGTGGAGAAGCGGGCAGACCCACTGAGAGCGCAAGGCAGTGGACCCACTGAGGGCTGTTCGCGGTCACACATTTGCGTGCAGATAAACCGGTGAAGGAGCTAGCATTGAGATGGACCAAGCAGGCCCCAGCGGCAGGAATTGTCAGAGGGAACCACCACTGTCCCTCTCTGACCGCCCCCACATCCAGCATCACAAACCAGTGACCTAGGTGGCCCCGCCCTGGTGAACACCTCAGGCTCTGCTCCTCATATATAACAGGCACGAACAGATCAAAACATGGCTCAAGAACAACTCAGAGCCCCAGAGCCAATAAATCAAAGCAACCAAGAAATAGCCAGACTTTCACATGCACAGTTCAAAACACGGGTGATCAGGATGCTCACAGAACTGGTTGATTTTAGGCACAAATTAGAGGAACATATGAAGGCTAAACTAATTGAAATGAATGGAAATGCACAGGAAACCAATAGTAATGGAAAGGAAACTGGGACTCAAATCAAAGGAGTGGACCAGAAGGAAGAGAAAAATGAAGAAACAGAAAAGGATGAAGAAGCAAGAATTCAAAAAAATGAGGAGAGGCTTAGGAATCTCCAGGACATCTTTTTTTTTTTTAAATATTTTCTTTATTTATTTTTCGAGAGAGGGGAAGGGAAGGAGAAAGAGTGGGAGAGAAACATCAATGTGTGGTTGCCTCTCATGCGTCCCCTGCTGGGAACTGGCCTGCAACCCAGGCATGTGCCCTGACTGGGAATCGAACCGCGATACTCTGGTTCGCAGGCCCGCGCTCAATCCACTGAGCTACGCCAGCCAGGGCCTCCAGGACATCTTTAAACAGTCCAACATCTGAATTATAGGGGTACCAGAAGGGGAAGAGGAACAGCCACAAGTGAAAAACTTATTTGAACAAATAATAAAGGAGAACTTTCCCAGTCTGGCAAAGGCAATAGACTTCCAGGAAATCCAGGAAGCTCTGAGAGTCCCAAAGAAGTTGGACCTAAATAGGAATACACTAAAGCACATCATCATTATATTAGTCAAGATTAAAATGAAAGAGAGAATCCCAGAAGCAGCAAGAGAGAAGGGGGCTGTCACCTATAAAGGAGTTCCCATCAGACTGTCAGCAGATTTCTCAAAAGATACCTTACAGGCAAGAAGGAGCTAGAAAGAACTATTTCAACTCATGAAATCTAAAGACCTAGATCCAAGATTTCTCTATCCAGCAAAGCTTTCATTTAGAATGGAAGGACAGATAAAGTGCTTCTCAGATAAGATCAAATTCAAGGAGTTCATCATCACCAAGCCCTTATTATATGAAATGTTAAAGGGACTTACCTAAGAAAAAGAAGATAAAAAAGATGGACAGTGAAAGGACAGCAAACTCACAGTTATTAACAACCACACCTAAAACAAAAGCAAACTAAGAGGACAGCTAGATCAGGAGCAGAACCATAGAAATGAATATCTCATGGAGGGTTAGCAACAGGGACTGGGAGAAGGACAAGGGGGAAGACAGTACAGAAAATAAGTAGCATAGAAGGTAGGTAGAAAATAGATAAGGGGGAGGGCAAGAATAGTAGGGGAAATATAGAATCTAAAGAACTTGAGACAGGTGGTCATAAACTAAAGGGGGGGAATCGTGGGGGAGGGGCATGCAGGGTGGAGGGGAATGAAGGGGGGAAATAGAACAACTGTAATGGCATAATTGATAAAATATATTTAAAAAAAGAAATGCTATTTTTTATTTCCTCTTGACCCTTGTTGATAGTTTGTATTACCTTTTTCATGTTGATGTAGTTTGCAATGATTTCATTGTAGTTTCCCTGTAGTTTTCGGTAATTCTTTGTGAGCTCATTGAGCTTTCTGATAACCATTGCTTTGAACTCAGTATCTGATCATTGACTTGCCTCTATTTCATCTAGCATTCTTTCTGAGACTGCCTCCTTTCCTTTCATTTGGGAATTGTTTCTTTGTCTTCCCATTGTTTGTGAGACTGTTCTAGTTAGCCTCTGCTTCTTTAAATATTTTTTAAGATTGTTTACTTATTTATTTATTTATCTTTAGAAGGGAAGGCAAGAGGGAGAGAAATATCAATGTATGGTTGCCTCTCGTGCATCCCCTGCTGGGAACTGGCTTGCAACTCAGGTGTGTGCCCTGACTGGGAATCGAACCACGATCCCCTGGTTAGCAGGCCTGTACTCAATCTACTGAGCTACACCAGCCAGGGCTGCTTCTTAAACTGATCTGTTCTGACTCCCTGGGTTTATGGTATGAACCTCTATGGTAAAATACTTGTGTGATTCAGTGGCGCCATTTCCTTTATCTCCCCAGCTCACTGGTCTTAGGCTGTCATTTATGTTGGCTCTGTGTATGTGTTTGGGTTTTGATTGCTGCTGGGTCTTACTTTTGTGGGTCCTTCCCACAAGCTGGTTAACTGCAGGTCATTCTGTCCACCACCTCTTGTATTCTGTTATGCAGGTGTGGGCAGATTGTGTTGAAGCTGGCTATTCTGTGTGCACAAGGTTTTGAGGATTCTCTATTGTTCTTGTTCATTTGTTTGTTCTGAGTAATTTCTCTACTCTTTAGTTGTGTTTCTAGATAGGTCCTGGGTTGAGTTAGTGTGGCTTCCACTACCTCTTTCACCTTCTTCTGTTGTTATCTGTTGGTGGTTCCTTTGTTGGTGGGTTTCCTCTTCCAGCAGGTATCCTGGTATTCACAGCTTCCACCTAACTCATCTAGTTTTTCAATGTCCTCTGTAATTTTTGGTCTTCTATTTTCATATATGCTGGGGTACTGTTGGCTGTTTGCTCTGTTCCTCAGTAGATCAGCTAGATGTTTCACCTGTGTGCAGGGGAAGTGGACTCCGCTCCCACCTATCTCGCTGCCATCTTAGTTCTCTCTTATTTATTCACTTTTAGAGAGAAGGGAAGTGAAGTAGAAAGATTGATGTGTGGTTGCCTCTTGTGTACCCACTACTGGGGATCTGGCCTGCAACCCAGGCATGTGCCCTGGCTGGGAATTGAACTGGCAACACTTTGGTTCTCAGGCCAGTACTCATCCACTAAGCCACAGCAGACAGGGCTTTTCTTTAGTTTTTAAAACGTGGTTTCCACCCTGGCTGTTACAGCTCAGTGGATTGAGCATGGGACTGTGAAACAAAGAATTGAGATTCGGTTCATAGTCATGGCACATGCCTAGGTTGCAGGCCAGTTCCCAGCAGGGAATGCACAAGAGGCAACCATACATTGATATTTCTCTCCCTCTCTCCTTCCCTTCCCCTGTAAAGATAAAGAAATAAAACCTTTTAAAAAATGTTTCCTTTTGCTCTTCCAATATATTTTTCTATTTTTAAGACTTTGCGTGTTTTTTCCCTTATATATGAGTCTCATAGAAACATTTCTTTATTTTTTGCATGTCTCATGCATGAATTTGTAAAAACTTGGATATTTTAGGTAATAATTGTAGGTAAAAGATAATAATTTTGGGGAAAATATTGTAATTATTCCAGATTTTGACTTTTTCTCCTAGTGGCATCATTTTGTTGTGTTTTTTTACTTGCATTAAATCTTTTCATGTTTGTCCTCTTTCCAAAATCCAATCATTGATATCAGGATCAACCATGCTGATAAAACTAGAGGAGGATGGGCGTGACTCCAAGGAACAACCATGTAGACTTGTAGTGTTCTTATTTGAAGTTCAGCACTTTTCAGTTTGTTGCTTGTCTTTGATTAATGTTCAGAGTCTGAAATAGTTTTTTTGACAGTTTTACCAACTTTATAATTGCATTCTTGGAGACAGTATTTTTCAACTTCCTCTTTTGTACTGGAAAATATTTTTTCTTTCGTTTGTTTTTATATTCCTGTTTTCTACAATAAACATGGTTTTACTCTTAATGTGCAAGAATAAAAATAAAGGTAATTATTTTTTTAAATTTTACAAAAAGCAAATTAAACCTTTCATTCTAAGATCTACTTATATCTTCAGTTTTTAAATTCCAGGACAAACTTGACCTCTTTCTTTGTACAGATGGGCTTCTGTGCAGAATGTAGAAGCATGGTGCCCATGAACACTCCCATATGTGTGGTTTGTGAGGCTACTCTTGCTCTACAGCTGCAACCACAGGCCAGCCTCTGCTTGAAGGTAATGATATGCAGTTTTGTAAAAGCATAAGTAAAATATATAGAAAGTAATGTTGGAACAATTAAATGTCCTTCTTCAGCTGATGGAATTGGCTAACAGTTCATAAGCCAATATCTGTGAACAGACTCCGTGGTGGACCCTGGGCAGCAGAGTCTGCCTGTTGTGGCTGACGACGAGAATGAATGCACAGGTGACAATGATCCTGTAGAGAAAAAGGGAACAGCATGGCTACTCTCTCAAGGGGAAGAGTGCCTATGGATGCCTCAGCCACTCCCTCAAGAGGGGAACACCTTGACCCTTGCCTAGACAGGCTTTTTTTTTTTTTTTTTTAGACAGGCTTTTATTGTTTTCCTCTAGTCTTACATCAAAGAAAGATTTATTACCTATTACATAGAATATTATTGTCTACATTTTAGGTACAATCAAGAAAGTGAAAATGACATGCAGAGGGAATAGTGATGAGCCAATTAGCTCTATCCTTGGGCAAATTCACACAAGCTTTGGATATTACCTTGAAGATAGACAATACACATTTGTTGTTATAGACCAGGGTGATGGAGTTTTAGCAAGAGCAAGCCATAACAATCTGTATGCATTTTCTAGGCCTGATTCCCACAGGAAAACTCAGTTTGAAGGTCTGGCTCCTGTCCACCACTTTGATTCTGTAGGTTTTCCATACAGAGCCAAATCACATTTGCCAGAGTTACACAAACAGGTCCCCTACAAGAATCAACTCTAATTTTTGGAAAAGCATGCTGCCCAAAAGTTTAACTTATCAATGAGATCTGTAATGTGAAGAGGAATACATAGAAATGTGTTCCCTGAACATGGATTTAGAGGACAAATTGCACTACACCTAACTTAGACAATTTTTTTACTTCATGTATTTAAACTTGAACATTGCAATAAATGTTAACTTTTAATCTTGTTCTTAAAGTGGCTTCATGATTTTGTTTGTCTTATTTTCACAGTTATTTGCTAAGAGGAACATGTATTTCTTATTTTCTATTTTCAAGGATAAAGTAATCTGCTGCACCTGTGGAACAGGGACTCCTGCCCACCTGAAATACTGTGTCTCCTGTGAGAGGGCCCTCCCTTCATCACAAGAGGTAGGTTGACTGCATGCGCAAGTCTCATATTTAGTGGCTACTAAATATACAGTATTAATGATAATGAATGAATATAATCTGCAGAGCAGGGAGAAAGTGGGAGAATGGAGAGAGACCAAAAGAAAAAAAAACCCTTTCATGGTAAACTGAAAGCAACTTTTCTATATATGGAATTTCTTTATATGTTCACCAATACAAAATTGTTTTCAAAGTCTTCACAGCAAGAGGATTCAATAAAATTCATGATCTCTTACAATTTTGTTTAGTAATTTTTCATAGAAGGCTGGCAGCAGCCAATGGGTAATGGCCTCACTGACATTTCATTTACAGCAAATATGTCTTTATTGGCTATGCCATGCTATTTTTTTACTTTCTAAAATTTATTTTTCTGTTGTTGTTGTTCAAGTACTGTTATCTCCATTTTCACCCTACCATGCTCCTGAACCTCCTATCCCCACCTCTCAACCTCTAACCTAACCCCTTTGCTTTCTCCTTTATACATGTTCCTTGATGGCCCTTCCCCCTTTATCCCTCATTATCCCCTCCCACATCCTCTCTGGGTACTGTCAGTTTGTTCTTTACTTCAGTGTCTCTGGTTGTATTTTGCTTACTTGCTTGTTTGGTTCATTAGGTTCAACAGATAGGTAAGATCATATGGTACTTGTCTTTCATCACCTAGCTTATTTCACTTAGCATGATACTCTCCAGTTCCATCCATGCTGTGGTGGTGAAGGGAAGGAGCTCCTTCTTTCTCACTCCTGCATAGAATTCCATTGTGTAAATGTACCATGGTTTTTTGATCCACTCATTTACTCATGGGTACTTAGGTTGATTTCAGCACTTCGCTATTATAAATTGTGCTGCTATGAACACTGCAGTGCATAGGTTCTTTTGAATTGTTGTTTCAGTATTCTTAGGGTATAAACCCAGCACTGGTATTGCTGAGTCAAAAGGCAGTTCCATTTTTTGTTTTTTGAAGAAATTCCATACTCTTTTCCATAGTGACTGCACCAGCATTGTACTAGGGTTCCCTTTTCTCCACAACCTGTCCTACACTTGTTTTTTGCTTTGTTTATGATTGCCATTCTGACTGGTGTGAAGTGGTGTCTCATTGTGGTTTCAATTTTCATCTCTTTGATGGCTAGTGATGCTGTGCATCCTTTCATATGTCTCTGGGCCCTCTGTATGTCCTCCTTGGAGAAGTGTCTGTTTAGCTCCTTTGCACATTTTTCAATTTAATTCTTTGTCTTCCTGATGTGGAGTCCTGTGAATGCTTTATATATTTTGGAGTTCAATCCTTTGTCTTAGGTATCATTGGCAAATATGTTTTTCCATACACTTGGTTCTCTTTTCATTTTAGTGCTGTTTTATTTAGCTGTGCAGAAGCTTTTTATTTTTATGAAATCCTATTTGTTTATTCTTTTCTTTATGTTCTATGCTCTAGGGGACATATTGGTCAAAATATCGCTGCATGGACTATCTAAGATTTTCCTACCTATGTTCTCCTCTAGGACTTTTATGGTATCACAACTTCTATTTAAGTCTTTTATCTACCTTGAATTTGTTTTTTGTGTATGGTATAACTTAGTGATTGAGTTTCATTTTTTTGCATTAGCTGTTTCTTTTTTTTTGCATTTTTTGCGTTAAATCTTTAAACACCATTTGTTAAAGAGGCTATTTTTGCTCCCTTTTATGCTTCTGCTCCCTTTGTCAAATTTTTTAAATATATATTTTATTGATTATGCTATGACAGTTTTCCCATTTTTCCTCCTTCACTCCCCTCCACTGTGCATGCCCCCTTCCACCCACCTTTCCTCCCTTTAGTTCATGTCCATGTATCATACTTATAAGTCCTTTAACTTCTACATTCCTCACACTATTCTTACCCTCCCCCTGTCTATTTTCTACCTACCATCTATGCTACTTATTCTCTGTACCTTGCCCACCTCTTTCCCCCTCCCACTCCCCTATTGATAACCCTGCATATGATCTCCATTTCTATGGTTCTGTTCCTGTTCTAGTTGTTTGCTTAGTTTGCTTTTATTTTTGTTTTAGGTGTGGTTGTTATCATTGTGAGTTTGCTGTCATTTTACTGTACATGTTTTTTATCTTATTTTTCTTAGATAAGTCCCTTTAACATTTCATGTAATAAGGGCTTGGTGATGATGACCTCCTTCAACTTGATCTTATCTGAGAAGCACTTTATCTGTCCTTCCATTCTAAATGAAAGCTTTGCTGGATAGAGCAATCTTGGATGTAGGTCCTTGCCTCTCATGACTTGGAATACCTCTTTCCAGCCCCTTTCTGCCTGTAAGGTCTCTTTTGAGAAATCAGCTGACAATCTTATGGGAACTCCTTTGTAGGTAACTGTCTCTTTATCTCTTGCTGCTTCTAGGATTCTCTCATTCATTTTAATCTTGGCTAATGTAATTATGATGTACTCCTTGGGTCCATCTTCTTTGGGACTCTGTCCAGTCCCAAAGGAACAAGCTCTCTGAGCTTCCTGGACTTCCTGGAAGTCTATTTGCATTGCCAGATTGGGGAAGTTCTACTTTATTGTTTGTTCAAGTAACTTCCACTTGTTGCTTTTCTTCTTCCCCTTTTGGTACCCCTATAATTTATATGTTGGGACATTTAAAGATGTCCTGAAGGTTCCTAAGCCTCTCCTCAGTTTTTTGAATTCTTGTTTCTTCATTCTTTTCTGTTTGGTTGTTTATTTCTTCCTTCTGGTCCACTCCCTTGATTTGAGTCCCAGTTTTCTTCCCATCACTATTGGTTCCCTGTACATTTTCCTTTATTTCACTTACATAGTCTTTATTTTTTTCATCTAATTTGCAACCAAATTCAACCAATTCCGTCAGCATCCTGATCACCAGTGTTTTGAACTGTGCATTTAATAGGTTGGCTATCTCATCGCTTAATTGTATTATTTCTGGAGCTTTGATCTTTCTTCCTTTTCAGCCATTTTTTTGTCTTAATGTGCCTGTTAAGTAGAGAGGAGCAGAGCCCTAGGTGTTCACCTGGGCAGGGCAACCCAGATACAGTATCTGGGTTGCGACAATATGTGAGGCAGGGGTCTGAGAGGGAACAATGGTGCTTGGTCTGCTCTTTGCTGGATTTCAGTCACTTCTGTCACTTCCCCCAAGCAAATTGGGCCCTTCTGGTGCGGGTTGCCATGTGGGTGGGCTTGTGTGATTTCTAGGACCCTGTGGATTTCTCCAACAAACTCTCCTGTGAGAGTGGGACTTTCTCCAGGCAGCTCAACCCTCACAGGTGTTTTCTGTCGGTGTTTTGAGGTTTTATTTCCCTGTGTTGGAACCCTGGGTTGCATGGTCTGTCTCACACCCCAATTGTTTCTCCCAGTTTTTGAGTGGGAATGTGGGACCGCCCAGTTCCAAAAGCCACATGCACACCAAGCCCCTCCACAACCCACTGCCTCTTTGGGTCTGCCCACTGCTGCCTTGCACGCCTAGGGTCTTCCAGCTGCTGCTTTGCACACCTGGGGTCCACCAGCCACCACCTGCATGCCCATGGTCCGCCAGCTGCTGCTTGTGCATCTGTGTCAACCAGCCACTGCTTGTTTTTTTTGCCTCGACCCCTCTCTGCCCAGCTGCCCAACTCCACCCCACCTCTGGTCTCGATGAATGTGTCTCCTTTAACTCCTTGGTTGTCAGGATTCCATACAGTTTAATTTTCTTCCAGTACTGGTTGTTATTTTGTTTCTAAATTTGTGTTGTCCTTATTTTGGTTGTGTGAGGAGGTAATAGTGTATCTACTTATGCCTCTATCTTGGCTGGAAGTCCTCCCCTTTGTCAAATATTAATTGACCATAAAGACTTGGGTTTATTTCTGGGCTTTCTATTCTTTTTCATTGGCCTATGTGTCCTTATGCCTGTACTGTACTGTTTTGATTATAATATCAAATATAATTTGCCCTTGTAATATAGTCTGATGTCAGATATTGTGATCCCTCCTATTTTATTCTTCTTTCTTAAAATTGCTGAGGCTATTTGAGGTCATTTATGTTTCACATAAATATTTGAAATATTTGTTCTATATCTGTGAAATATGTCATTGGTATTTTAATAGAGATTGCATCAATTCTATAAATTGGTTTGTGTAATATGGACATTTTGATTATGTTAATTCTCCCAATCTGTGAACATGGTATATGCTTCAATTTGTTTGTTTCTTCCTTCATTTCTTTCTTCATTGTTGTGTAGTTTTCTGAGTACAGGTCTTTTACCTTCTTGTTAAGGTTTTTTTTTTAATATTTTTATTTTATTTGTTTTTAGAGAGAGGGGGAGGGAGGGAGAAAGAGAAGGAGAGAAGCATCAATGTGTAGTTGCCTCTTGTCCACTCCCTACCAAGGACCTGGCCTACAACCCAGGCACGTGCCCTGACTGGGAATCAAACTGGTGACCCTTTGGTTGTCAGGCCAGCACTCAGTCCACTGAATCACACCAGCCAGGGCTACTTCCTTGGTAAGGCATATTCATAGGTAACTTATTATTGGTTTTTTTTGTTGTTGTTTTTAAAAAAATGTATTTTGTTGATTATGTGCTGGGAACCATCCTGCCTGGTTTCAGAAACTGTAACCCCTTGTGGCTAAGGCTGAGTAAAAGGACCTTGGAATCATAAGCCACTTAGGAGACAAAGTTTGTCTTCCTTGTAGGGGCACCACATCTGCCCCCTTTCACCTCACCCTGCTTGGTCCTGGGTTTGATGGACGGGTTAGCCAATGACAGATAAGATTCCTCAAAGGATGGATGACCTAAGACAGATAAGGTCACATAGGGTCCCTCAGGGAAGGACTTGGGGGGCTATAGAAAAAGGGGGTGATGGACCCTTGCCCCTGGGCTTTGACATAGCCTGAATCCTCATTCTGTCTGCAAGAAGTCTCCTAATCTCTCAGCTGCCCTATGTCCCCTGCTTGACTTATGCCTGAAACAATGTCAGCGGTGGGCATGGCCCTGTTCTGGAAAGGGTAGGTTCCCTAG